CACATCTGCAGTTGTTCATTAATTTACTTTTGTACAGCTCCATGCTACCATGGGACATTAGACCACTGAATATTGCAGTTCCACAGAATGCATTGGCGTGTTATATGTAGTACAAGTGCGACTTTCTGAGAATGTAATGCACCAGTTGCCAAGTCCATTTTCACCGTGAATCTATTTATTTCTCCATCCATTCTCCTTAAACTTTTCTGCTGAAACTGGACCAATTTGGCACCCACACCATTCCCAAGACCTTCAGGTGTTACAGTGAGGAGTTCACCTGCTGGAGCTGTCTAAGCAACACCGCAGTTGCACAGGGGCATTTGATGAAGCAAACAATTCTGTGACGAATTTTACAGTGACTGCCAATTCAGAGACCAACAGGCATTAAGCGCTGTCTGTGGCACATGTTGTGTGAAAACTTGCTGCCTTATGGTATTATGCATCTCATAAATGTACCTCAGACAGTCTCCTTATTCAACAACGTGCAACTTGACCCTGTATTAACATTTGATAATGCCCGCTGAGAAGTGATAATGCCTGCTGCGTAAATCATGCGCTGGCACGTGGATACGAGACAGTTTAATCATTTCTGATTGGTCAAGAGTCTGTGTGCACATGGCTTGCCATGCACATGCCAATTGGGCAATTTGCACAAGGAATATTCCATAAAATGGACAAGGGTGTTCAGGAAACTGAAAGTAAATTTCTAGAATAAAATTGCTGGAATTGCATCACTTGACTTCTTTTGACTCTCTGACTAAAAAGGTATTTACGAATAGAAATAAATGTGTGCTTGGCTGGTCTTAAACATTAGCCGGGCTTAAACGACTCAGGAAACTGTACGCTGATAATGCTCCTTGCCTTACTTGGGCATTAGTCATGTCCTGAGCTCGTCTTAAAACGCGCATTTAAAACTGGCCAAGCAACTGTCCTTGTTAATAGGCTGACTTACTTGTTTGTATTCCGCAGTTGGTGCCTGTGTAGCCTGATTGGCACTTGCAAGTGTAAGCGAGGCCACCATCCATGTTGACGCAATCAGCACCATTGAGACAGGGGAAGCTGTTACAAGGATTGTTTCTAACAACAATTTCTGAAAACCAGATCCAAAAATAAACATCAATTAAAACAGTTCTCTGAAAATAACAATTCATATTCTGTCCTTCATCGCCGGGTACAGTAATTTTCATACTGTTGCCAAACATCCGACCAAAATTTAATACCAGGAAATGAATAAAAGGTTAAAAAGCAGAATAAATAGCTAGAACAAGCACAAAGTCAAGCACAAATCATAAATATTCCTAAATTATGAAAAAGATGGCATAAAACAAGCCATGAATTTATTTGGCCGACAAAAAAGTCACAAAGTACCACATAACAGGAAGTATAATTGCAAAAGCAATGACCCGAGTTTAGTTTCAGATGGATAACTAAGTGAGTCATCCCAACAATCTAAGTGGCCCAAAAGTTGTTGGAAATTGGACCCCCAAAATTCATAATGTGCACTCCTTAAACAAACTACACACCTTAAGAAACATCACGAGAGCAATTTGTTGTGTTAGTGCTAAAAGGTCCTTATTGAAAACTTGCACTAAAAGGTCCTTGGTGAAAAATATTGTTTTGCAAATGAATTTTGGCAAGAAAATTGGTTGAAATTTAAACATTTTGGCCCTCAAAACCAGTTGTATAAATAAACATCAAAATGGTAGTCTGTTTCAATAAAATATTTCTTTCATGCTCAGAGTAAGGCCCTAAGAGTATTTTCAAAAACTACATTTTTGCTAAAATGACCTTTTAGCAGTGAGCCAACCCGTTCTTCAAGAATATATCACACAGAAACTGCTGTGGTGCAGGCCAATTCTAATCTCGCTGATAGAGGATAAATCATTTTCCTGTTTTTCACATGGCTGACCCCGACACAAAAAAACTAAATAAAAAGAATGTAATAATTACGGTCACACCGCAGTCCTGCAAATCCAGCGCTGCATTCACACACATAGTCAAAACAGGTGTTCTCCCTCCGTCGACAGATTCCGTTATTCTGGCAGGGATTCTGAAGGCACGGGTCAGGAATAGCTGCAAGTAAAAGGAATCACGTGGTGATCATCCCCATCATCACTGAAAATAATATCACCATCTTAAGTAACCCACTCCAAGCGGAACAAAAGAGGGCGTGTTTGTTTTGGTACTCACCGCACAGGCACACCATGAGGCACGCAAGTATATGTGCATTTGATGCATGTACCGTCTTAGCATGAACCTGCTTGTAACCACCTGTCTTTCTTTTCACAGTTGGGGGTGCACTTCAGCTTTGGGTGGATAGGTCAGAACCACATATACTTGCGAAAAGATATTTCACATGGTGCTATCACAAACCTATTACTTGATTTGCCACTTTCCCCACGAAAACCTTCATATCTCATCAAGTATCACCACCATCCTAATAGCCATCAGCACCACTGACATCCACCACCACCACGTCCGACAAAAGGAGGGGGACCATGGCATGGGGACCATATCCCCCCCCACAAAAAGAACCAAAATAATAAAATGTATATATACATGTATGTATATATATATATATTTGGGGAAAATAATGACATAAAAGACAAATTTTGAGGGATCTGTTTCATTTCCCTTCCTTCGAAAAAGTTGCAATAAGTCCAAAAATGTAGCCTCAACCCTCAGACAGGCCATAACAATTTACATGAAGCAATTCCCAAAGTTGTTAACCCCAAAGCCAGATCTCCCCCCCCCAGAAAGGTTCTGGATCTGTCCTTGACTCCCAATCAACGCAAACACTGCCCAAATACACAGACATAAAGACAAAGTCCCTGGGTTGTTTGGGCCATTTCTCACATCTGACCCATGGAAGCTGGAAGACCAGAACCTGTGTGTCCTTTGGTGGCTTTACCTATCTGACAGTTATAGCCAGTGAAGCAGCCAGTGCATCGGCAGGTGTAGGCAGTGCAAGAGTTCTGGATGGCGCTGCAGACACCATTGTTCTGACAGGGTGACGGATTGCAAGGGTTGAAAACTGTAGCAAAAAATTAATAAAAAAAAAAAATTCAGAAAATCGATACATGCCCTTTCAGCTTAGGCCCCCCCCCCAAAAAAGTCTTCAGTTTCTGGTCAGCATGCGCGTCGTCGTAGACCTGTGTCTTGGCAAAATAAAAAACTTTTTATTGGTAAAAAGCCATGTCAAAAAGCTGCCAAACTTACTTTATCGACTGGAATCCTGCTACTACATAATTTTAACATGTTTTTGATGGATACAGTTGAATAATATGTACAGTAAAGGAGTCCCTCTCATTCCCCATAAATTTAGTTGGGCACTCTTTTTCAGATGACGTCATTTCTTTCTGTATTATACATTTACATCTGGAAATTACAAGCCAAACGAGCTGGTCTTATGTCCTGTGTACATGTACAAGCTGAAAATGCTTTTAAACAGTAAAAAGTGCAGGGGTCAGTCTATTTTAGTGTTGGTAGAGGCCGGTGTTACAAATGTACATACATCATTTCCAGAAAAAAAAATAGAGGGAAAAAAAGAAGCTGTGTCACTGCACTACTTTTGGAGCCAGCTCCTGACCAGAAACCAGAGCCTTTTTTTGTGGCCTTATGAGCTATTTTTGAATTTCTTCTCATGAGAAAAAGACTTCCACCCAATGCCGACATTAAAAATTTTCCACAAGTTTTCATGATGACACTGTTCCCTGGCTGGAACAGATCTGGGATTTGAAGGCAGGCATTCCCTTTGAGCTAAGCAGACACCTCACCATTCATAAACTGGAGATCAGAAGACAGGAATAACAGGTTTAATCCCAGCACATTGGCACATATTCAGGATTTTCTTGTCACACGGCATTTGAGACAGCATCAACGCATGCTAAAAAGGCTGATCTTACACATGCCCATTTATGTTTTCAAATGACTTAAAAGAGATAAAGAGAAAGAATTGGATAAGATTGGACCAAATCGGTGACATGCTTCATTTCTTACATGCACTGTTGGAAAAAACGAACTGGCCTAATGACATAAATTGTAAACAGAATCTTACGTTCATTGCAGGTTGGTCCCTGGAAGCACCCAGAACAGGCACAGGAGAATTGAAGGCAGCTGTTACCAAAAGTATTACACAGCCCACCGTTCTCACACTTGTGATTAGCGCAGCCATCGACCTCTGTTGCATGAAAAATTATGAAATAATCATATAAGCTAAAACAAACGATTAAAATAATCACTTTAAAATCAAAATGAATAATGTGAAGAGTGCTTCGTGCAATCTTCTATATAAGGGCTCGTGAAAATTTCCCAGCTTGTTTGAATAGGACTTAATTCCACAACTCCATACATACATTAATACAAAACATCTCTTGATCACTTGGCCACTGAGCTTGTCAGGATCAGCTGGCTGGCTCAAATCTGACACAGCAGCAGGTAGCGTAGCCAGTGACTACTACTGGATTTTTCATGCCAGATGAAAAAAAAAATTGGCACATCTTCCAACTTTCTATCGTCCGACTTCAAGCTATAGACTTACGTTGATCACAGAAACGGCCGTAGGAGCAAGAGTTACACTGGCAGGTGTACTCAACACAAGAGCCCACCACAGGAACACACTGACTGCCCGAAGCACACATGTTATTTTGACAAGCATTCACACCTGCACAAGAATCCGAACACAAAAGGAAATTACACATCAACATATTCCATGATTGAGAATGAAAATGAAATTTAAAAATTTTTTTTAAAAATCCAAAAAATGAAACAAAAATCGAAAATTAAAAAATGAAATACAATAAAATAAAAAAACAATAAATCAAATCAAATAGTGGCACAGACCTAATCATCTCCTGATACTCAAGTTTTTTGTTTCAGAATTTTGCAAAGATTTTCAACACACTGCTGGCCATTGATCATCAAATCCTGCAGATTAGCAAGGCATTCAACGCCAAACTTTTGTTTATATACAACTGGTTCCAAATTAATATGATACTCTCTTGTCAATACTAATAATAAGTCTCCTTTCCTGTGATTTTTTTTTCATATCAACATTACAATAATGTGACTACATAGGCCAAAGGGTGACATATGACATGACAGATGCAAATAAAAGAACACACAAGAGCCACGACCAAGAACTTACAAAAGCATAAGAGTACATGTACACTGCACTAGTGTACTGTAAACTGCTAGATTTTTCTGTTTTCATGGCTTGAAAATCAAGTGGGTGTCACAAATCTGAAGAATGACCAAGCTGTTGAAGTTTCAGCTCTGCCAAGTGTCAATATTTCAAGAAAATGAACCAGATTTTTGGGTCTTATTGAGACTCGCATCAAAATTTACCATGTTGTGTCAAATGTTGATGAATGCAACACCCCTCCCCCAGCATGACACAGTCCCTAAATAGCACTTGGGCAAGATTCTCAGTTAGCCATTTATACCTCCCTGCCATTGAAGCCATGGTTCTTAATATGAATCTGTAAATCCTAGCAACGCACCTGTTTGCACCCATTCCAAGACTGGCCTACATGTAAGGACACAATGGGGGCATTCAACAAAGTTTGCAAAGATTTGTGACTTGACAAATCTTTTTTTTTTGTGCCACTTTCTTTAAGTCAAATATACTTTTTACTACTATTTTGATTGGCTGATTTTACTGATTGCTGAAAATGGTCCACTCTGCCTTTGCACCATGCATACTTACTGAGGGCACATGTTGGGCCGCTGAAACATGGCGGGCACACACAATTGTACTCATTAGTGCCTTGGCCAGTAGGTACACAGTTCCCTCCATTTTGACATGGCGAAACGGTGCACGGGTTTTCTGCACAGAAAGAATAAAGAAATATCCCATTATACAGTGATCCCAATATTTCTCCTAACCAGGAGCGTGACAGAAGACAAGAAATCAGGAAATCAAATACATGTACATGACATGGTGGATGTGTCTACACTTTTCATTGCAAGTCATGACTGAACCTCCAGCATGAAATTAGTTTGTTGTGCTATGAGACGTGTTACGCCTTCCATTTTTACCATTCACTGGATTGCCAGAACTTTTTTTTTCACTTTTTGTGGTAAACTAAAACCTCACCTGTACACATGCTCTGTTTCATTCTATTATCACTCACATGATGATCAGTCACATGGTAACCTGCTATATGGCAGCTGTCAACTTGCAAATTGGGTTTTATAATTTTCTTTATGTCAGGAAGATTGTGTTGCTGATCAGCTTCATTGAACATTGACCGAATATTAATTGCAAAGACAAGGAATGTCAGAGGTTATGACACAAATATGCATGAATATGATAAAGATTATCTGAATTTTACTCGGGGAAATTCATCTATTTGGAATTTCCTTCTATGGAGGCTCCCATTTTGAATCGTGTGACTCCTCTTTGTGAATTGATTGGTCAACAAAAGATACTGTGTTAGGGGAAATCCACGTGCTCCCAGAGCCCCTCTGGGGAACAGATCTGAAGAAATTGGATGAGTCACTATCATACGTGTTTTACTTCATCCAAACATCAAAAGGACAGTGATATCTTTCCAGCATTTTCCGCACACATACATGTACCTCAGATCTGTAAATTTCATGGCCCAATGACCTGACCACCCGGTGAAACAAGAAAGGTGAGGGGTGAGCTTTTAGTGATAAAAAAACTGAGAAATGTCATTCGCAAATGCTCATAAATGAAGGGCAACAGCAGATGACGACTTACGAACGAGGAGGGTGACCTGGAAAGTGCATACAGCACTGCGTCCCCCATTGTCCTCAACAGTGTAGGTCACCTGGGTGAAGGGTTGTGTGAATGCTGTGCCCGGGGCTGGGACCTGGGAGGTGATCCTTGCCGAGCCTGAGGCATCATAGAATTGTGGCTGTGCCCAAGTGACCTGTATTCCCCCAGCAGGAATTGTCAGCGTTGAGTAAAGGATGTTGCCGGGGCAGAATGTGAAAACAGGAGGCGTTGTGTCCTCTGGAAGAGAAACAGCAATCCAGACATTGAGGGCCAAGTGAGCCAAGAACAGAACAAGGTTGTCCTCGACTCATCGCTGGTCTATCAGTGGCCAACCACAAGCCAGCCAGTCTTTAAGTCACAAAGAGCATGGGCTACATTCATAAGTTGGCCATGTTAAAAACTTGCTGATGGTGTTATTTTTGGGCTGAAAAATTTGGTGGCCAAATTGGAAACAGTGGCAAACTTCTGATGTATAGTCTAATGCTGCAAATACTGGTTTACCAGAGTCATTTGAACGGTGCTTGCCAAAAAAAGCAGGAGAGGGGGTGAGAATTTCACACAATAGTCAATGGTCAGTCCAAGAAAGACAAGTCTTGGATAATGAGATGTTGAAATTAATAAATGGCTTTTACAGGAAGTTACTTTCATGCCTGAAATACAGTACAGAGTAGGAAAAGTGCATAGCAAATTCTGGTCCAAGTACTCACCTAAATTGACTGTGACGGTGAAGGAACAAGAGACAGAGTTGCCGCTCAAATCGATGGCTTGGTAACTCACGGAGTTAGGTTGCCCCACTGGGAAAAAGGAACCCGATGGTCGGTCTGTCTGGAGGACAACTTCAACTGGCCCACCAGAGGAATCTGTCGCAACCACTGGCGACCACGAAACAATATCTCCTGTAGCAGTTCCAAGCTCCACGGTGCGGACAATGTCAGCCGGGCAAGTTATTGTTGGGCTAAGTGAATCAGCTGTAAAAAGATTTCAGCGGTAAACAGTTGTCTGTTAGCACATAAAATACCAAAGTATGTGTACAAAACAAAAAAAGGGTATGCAGAAGTGGTCCACACACATTCCCACTGCCACAATTTCCTTCAACCGACATTTTACGTTAGGAATCACAGATGATGTGAGGATAAAATAATTCCGCAAAATTTACAAAACCCACTGATGGAAAACATCCTAATAAATATCCATATTTGCCAATTTGTTGCACATCTACAGGATGATGCCAATGGGGGTGGTGATTTTTTCACCCACGGGTATGTGAATGTCATATGTAGCCCAAATACTGGTCAAAACTGACAGATTATGATTCACAGAACAGTTAGTTACATATTTCTAGGGGGGAGGGGGGTCAGTAGTATCAAGAGAAGCTCCCATACCTGTGGTGACGACAATGCAGAATTCACAGTCCACAAAATTTCCGGAAGTGTCAGACAGTCTGTAGGCAATGTCGTATACCCCTGCACTGAAAACGCTGTTTGGTGTTTGGCCACGTATAAGTTGGACATTGACGTCCAAGTTGGAGTTGTCAGTAGCTGTCGGAGCACTCCAGTTAACTTGGACCGTGTCTCCAGTACCGAGTTCTACGGCGCGCAACATGGTGGTTGGGCATGAGGTGAGCACAGGAGGTACTGTGTCAACTAGAAATCAAAATTGTGCCGTAAAAAGATATTTTTATCAATATATTACCGGCTCAAGATATTTATGCAAGGAACTTTCAAGTGGTGTCAAGCACAGGCTACACCCAGCCTGTTAGTGGAACAACTTGCATCACCCACCTGCTGCGGAGATCACAACATTGAAAGTGCAAATGGCTGAATTGCCGTTGCCATCAGTAGCCACGTAGGTGACAGTTATTGTTCCTGGGCCATAGGACTGGCCAGGCCCTTGGCTGCCATCCTGCAGTCTCACCGAAGGAACCGCTCCTGAATTGTCCGTGGCCGTTGGGGCGGGAAAATTGATAACGACTTGGTTGCTTCCAACAGGTATCTCCCTCATCAAGGTGGATGGACAATTAAAAACTGGAGGCACCCTATCAACTATGACAATTTAAAAAGAAAAAAAGCAAAATTGTCATTCCCACATTCCAACCTGGCTCGGTGTTTGAAAACTGAACAAATGTTCAAACTACATGTATTTTTTTTGTTCCCTGGATCACCCCAAGTTCTCAAGTAAAATACAGACAAGCTGAGTATGAATGATTAAGCTGAGCAAAATTTTGAGAGTCAACTGAAAATGTAATCCACACTGAAGTGGCTACAAATAGCTGTGTTTTTTTGTTTTGTTTCATTTCTTGTCTGTCTCTTTTTCTGAGCCACTTGGAAAGTACATGTAAGTGCTTCACCAGGAAACAGAATTGAAATTTCAATGCATCTGGAGGGAACAGGAACTGACGGCAATCTGTTTGTCTTCTTTGTGTCTAACCATTTCCATAAAACCTCAGGCTGGACAAAGTGGCAAGACATCCATGATGCATTTTAGGGACTCCACATAGGAAAGAACCCCAAAATGGTTCACAAACTCTTCAAGAACTCACTGAGATCATTACTGTCCATGGTAGTTTAATCTTAAATATGCTTTCAACTGGATTTTGCGGTGATAACAAATCAGTAGTGTCACAAAGCCCCACCCCCTTTTTGGGGACTTGGGGGTAATGTCTCCCTATTTTTAGCAGGTCTTCAATGGCTGATGCCTGAATGTCTCAGAAATGGCCCCCAACTTTGGAAATCATTCTGCCGCCATTTTAATCATGCCAGTCTGAGATCCAGGAAGGGGGGTGACAAAATGGGATTTTTTCCTTAAAACAGCTGTCAACTCTTTTTTTTATCCATGACAAAATCCTCAACCCCCTAAAGAGAGGTTGTAGTATCATGTTGAAAAATGCACTTTCTTTTTATCGAAGAACAGAATCGGCAACATGTCCCCCATCCCACCGAATATCCGGTTCGTAAGAGTGAAGTCACTTCAGTTTAAACCATGCCCACTGCACACGCAGAGCATATAGGGTTACATGCATTGATCGCCATTTACATGGAACTGGAAGTTAACACGCTACTTCAGCGATTGTCTAATGGGAGCCTGCAAATCATGGCGCGTCGGCCTTTGTGACAAAGTCACTTACAAAACGGACACCACTGGTAACTAATGATATCAGAACTCACCGACAGAAAAAGTAACATCACAAGTTGCAGCATTGCCCGCATTGTCAAGAGCTCTGTATGTGATGGCGTATGGTCCGAATGGGAAAAAACTCCCCGAGCTGCTTTGAGTTTCAGGGAATGGCAGAACAGAGGCAATGCCACTGGCGTCAAATGCAGTAGGCGTGGGCCAGGTAACTGTTGATCCACTGGCATCGGCTGCAGTGACGGCTATTTCGCCCAAGGCAACACAGTTAATCGTAGGGGGGGTAGTTTCTGTGATGAAACACGTAACAGTGGACCTCAGTCAAATACATTCAAAATCATTGAACAAAGCAGATACAGACTACATGTATACATGTACACGTTTTCCTGGTGGTCTACCTCTTTAATTTCAGGACAAAGGTTAGTTCCTTAGTGAAATGGGATTGGATGTTGGGAGTCCAACTGGTATTTGGTTCCGACAAGTTCCAGTAAGATCACACTTCAACACAAATGTCCAAATCAACTAAAACGGAGCTTAATTTTTTGGCCCAATTATTGGGCACTTGCATTAGTTGCCTTTTAGTAACAAATCGATGCGATATTTTTCCTTTTCATGTTGTTGATTCTCATTTCTTGATATTTGATATTGAAAATGAATATTTCACAATTTAATAATCCATCAAAAGCAAGTCTGGTCTGAACCAATTTGGCTCATCGGGCCAGTGTTTATCTCCAGTTTTCTTGGCATGAAACAACTGAGAATATTTCTATTCCCCTGGATGGGATGCCAGTCCATCGCAGGTTGCTTCCCTAGCCAATGTTGGTACCCATTTATACTCCTGGGTGGAGAGAGGCAAGCAGGAGTGAAGAGGCTTGCCAAGGGCCACAACATACTGCCAGCAGCTGGATTCGAACCTCCAACGCTATATTTGGAAGCCACAAACCCTAACCACTTTGCCACATGGCCCCTAGATAATCAATTTAATATTCAATTATTCTGAATATTTGGAACAGCCCTAATATCAATCAATAAATATATGACAATCTGAGGTAGCAACCTCAAGGTGAAGGCTTCAATATTATTCCCTGCATGTAACAAATGCCATACATAAATATAAGTGATACTTTAGGCATGTTCACACTGTGTGAATGTTTTCCATAAAATGAATCAGAATGGAAATGCTGGTAACCTTCTGGGACTTGCCCACAGATAGATGTACGTGTACTGTATGTCTGACGTCTGAGGTACAAAACATGACCACTTCACATGATGTGCAAGGTCATCTTAAGCACATCTTAAACAGGAGACATCCAGCGTTTCCCCCCATTCTTGTCAGACCAAAAAAGTGGTCTTTCCTGTTATATTAATGAAACAGGTTTTGAGGATTTTTTTGGGGGGGGGAACATATCAGGCTAGGTTATTGTCTAATTAATCGTGGATATAAACACACAAGAGCAGCCTACTTTACAAGCCACTTGGTACAAATGTTGCGATTGTCATCCATATCATTGTCGTTCGTTGTCGCCGTTATGTCTTTTTTTCTTGCTACTGCTTCCAATGTCATTTGTGACCAGTCATTTTAGACAAGTCACAGGAATATTTTCTTATAGGTACTATGTTACATGTAGGCTACACATAAGCATAGGCATTCTTCACTAAGCATAAATATGGCCCTCAGGGAGTCAGAAAACATTTTGAAGAAACTTTTAACAGCCACACCCAGCTCTTGCTTGTTGCTTATACTGCTGCATTCATTAGTGCATTTCAATGTACTGTGCAAATTCCACTGAGCTGCACTGCACCCCTACAGAAATATGCCTGTTGCAGCCACCACTGCTTGAGATACCTGTCCACTAGCTTTTGAGCAGAAAACACCTTCTCTTATTCTCACTCTGCTTTAACATCTGACTTGACTCAAGAAGTCAAGAGCCAAAATCTTTCTGCATGTAGCACGAGTGTTGGTCAACCTAGGTGCTGAGTAACCACCTGTTATAAATCTTTTTGTTTTAATTTTCTTAGAGTAAATTATGTACCTAAAGGTGCAAGTCTTATGGAAAGACAGCATGGGCAGACTTTCTTGATGGAAACCTGGATGATTTATTTTAAATCTTCTCATTGAAGAAAGCAGATAGTAAATTTCAGAAAGATTTATTGGATCATTTGATCATTATTTTTGGATACATTCCACCGTTTTTGGTACCTTTGGCCATAATCCTAGGTGAAATGAATTAAGTGTGTAATTAATGAAATCTTAATTTGATGAAACGTTTAATAAAATTAATGCCATTCATGCTCCAATTAAATAACTATGTATTACTATGCATGTTAATGTAAATATTGAAATTGCTGCGATGAATGAGGTGCCACTGTACGCAATGCTTGAAGTCCTTTTTTTTGCACCACCAAAGATGCCTACATCCACCTATGCCACAATAATGCCAGCATGTAGCTGGAGCACTGACTGCAGACCTGTTCCCAGAAACATGTGTACATGTGTAATGCATGCATAGCACGAATGGTCTGTAGTTGGATTTTTCAGTACCTCTGATCCGTTCTTCATGGTTTTGCTGTGATTGGGGAAAACTATTAAGTGCAGTGATGAAAACCTAAGCTACATGTACATGCATATATGGCAGATTACACTGTATAGAGCATGCTTGCCAACTTATCCATCTATAGGATAAGATTTTTCTTAGACGGCACTTCAACCAGTAAATTTTCGTCATCATGGCAATGATAGCTCATTCTTGCTGTAAAGGTCGAGGCCTGAAAAAATCAACTGACCAATCTAAGAGTTGTAATGACTCAAGTCACAACCTTTGGCGACTTGGTGCGACTTGAGTCCTGACTGGCAATTGACTCAACTCGAGTCACAATGTTAAGATGACTTGACTCAACTCAAGTCACCAAATTTAGTGACTCGTTACAACACTGCCAACTCCAAAGTCTCTTACATCACCTTTTAGCTGGAGTTGGGTATACATCTTCCGAAACAGGTTACTGGGAGTCTCTTTTCTTTTAAAACACATATTCAATGTTTACATGTACCTGGGCTGGCTTCCCTCTTTGACAGCCAAACAGAAATTATCAAGAACCATGCAAGCTCAAGGACAGTGGTGTGACTGGGGTGAATTTCTGACGGATAAGGGTCATTTGAAGGTGCCCACACGTTTTTAGAGGTGGCATTGGGTTCAACTGTACTTTGTCTTGTACAAAACTTGAGTACATCTCAAAATTTTAAATGGGGGGCACCCCCCAGGGTGGTACAGAGACATTTGCTGGGTGGGGGACACATGGTGGAGGCGCGGTACACATTAATTGTTTTGCACCCTCTCTGCGTCCCCTGTGAATCTCTGATCAACAGATTCATCTTACTATAGGCAAGTACTTTTCAAGTACCAGTACAGAGTTCTAGGCCAAATGTTGAATTAGGAAGGAATATAAGCTAGCGAGTATAGGGACCAATGGCAATTACAAATCAATTTACAAAAACGTTTTTAAGACTTCTGATACTCCGACTTTTGTAAAATATAGTTTAAAGGAGAAAGGTACGTATATGTACTCGAAGAGTACTCAGCTAAATTCTTTTCAAATACATTCACATAGATTCCCTCTTTAACCAGTTAATATTTGAAAAAGGTAATAATTGAAAGAGCCTTCACTCTGACACTGATCTTATTACTTTTTTTTATAATATGGCTTTCCCAGAGAATGCACTTACCTTGCTGAATCACTACATTGAATGTGCAAGTTGCTGTATTTCCTGCCGCATCAGTTGCCGTGTACTGTATTTGTGTAGTTGTGCCAGGTGTGAATGTAGTTCCTGAGGCCGGTCCCCCGCTTTGTGTGACTGTTACCCCCTGTTGCCCACTGTCAGTGGCAGTTGCAGGTGACCATGTCACCACATTGTTAGTTGCTGAGCGTACTATGCTACTTGGACATGTAATTATAGGTGGTGTAGTGTCCGCTGTGTGGTGGTTAAAAACAAAGGAAGAACAATGCCATCTTTATTTATGAAAAATAAAAATACAATTCATAGGCCTCTTTCTTGTCTGCTAAGAAAGCAACAAACTAAATGTTTTTCCAGAGTTGCTAATATGAACATTAAGAGGGAGTTCAACAACGTGTGATTACACATAAAATAAACTGCACCTCAAATATTTTTCTTATTTGACTTGACTAACATCACATTTCTAGGTTCTGAATAACATTAGGAGAGATATGGACAGTATTAATCTGACCTTTAGATCAATATCAAAATTCAGTTAAATCAATACATCAATGTGACCTTGAAATCAATATGAAATTAAAAAATAAAATCAATTCGTTGAAAAGGAATACCCCAAACAAATATTCTTAAATTCTTCAGAAAATCCTCCCCCGTATAAGTGTGGGTCGGGTCTCCTAGTGATACTTACCCCTGTCCAGCCTACATATGCAAATTTCCTATGTGCCTATTACAATTCGCTGAAAAGACTTGATTAGGCATGCTGCCCCCTGACCGACCCACCACAATGCAATGCGGTCCCGCCGCCATATCCGTCCTTCATTTCGAAGCAGAGAAGTTCCCAGGAGCCAAAGTGGGGCCGGACAGAGGTATGTATCACGAGGAGACCCGACCCACACTTATGTGGGGAGGAGTCTCTTGCGTTCACCAACCCCTGTCCAGCCTAAATATGCAGAGTAGCACCATACCATGGAGGAGGGTCGGTGACGGGAGAGTAATTACAAGAGAACATAGGGGGGCGCTACTCAAGCGAATACTCACTATTCTAGAGCAAAGGAATAGCATCTATGATGAGAAATTCTTTGGTCGGTGAGGGACAGCGCTGGATGCTGTCCCAATCGCTGAGCGTAGGATTGCTGCACCGTGAGTCTTCTCACTCCGCAGGACACCCTTCAGGTAGTACTCGGTAAAGGTGGAAGGAGATTTCCAACAAGCCGCCTGGCAAATGTCTGCCAAGGAGACACCTCTGAAGAACGACCAGGATGCAGAGGCAGCTCCAACATCACAGGCTCTGGTGTGAGATCGAGTCATCTCGTCATGTCAAGTGGGCCAGTCTTGATTCGCAAAGATGATGGCGGAGACTGTCCAACAAGCTATGGTGTCCTTTCCTGCTGGATGAAAGGATTAAGTGGTTGTGATGAAAAGTCTGAAACCAGTCTCACAGCAATGCTTGGTCCACGCAAGGTACCATTCGAGGGTATGAACCGGACACCATTTCTTGTCGGAGCTACATGTATCTGCCGAAAGAGAGGTTATGTCAGGGACGAAAATGTCCGTAGGCCAGAAGACAGGCGTCTGCTTCTTTGTCAGGAATTCAATGGCTGGGATGAGACGAACTCCGTGTGGCTCCCAGCATATGTGACCTTCAACAGTTGACAGGGCATGCAGTTCAGTGCTGCGTCTGGAGGTAACAATCACCAGGGGGAACGCCAGCTTGATGCTAAGATCGAGATCAGGTGCATCGGACAGCGGTTCGAAGGGGGGACCAGCGAGAATGCGCAAGACGTTGCCAAGGTCCCAAGAAAGAACAAGGCATTTGATGTGAGGATGCTTGACAAACATTCCCCGAAGTAGATGGTGGATGGCAGTGTTATCAGAAATTGTTGATCCATCACTGAACCCCGAATGAACAGCTGCCAAGGCCAACTGGTAGTTGCGGATAGTAGCAGTCTGGAGGCCCAAATAAAAGAGATACATGAAAAAGTCCACAACTGAGCTTACAGAAGCTTCGGTTGGAGAAACATCGTGGTCGTCACTCCATCTAGCAAAATGTTGTATTCGACTGTTGTAAATTTTGTGTGTGGTGCGTCGTCAGCCCCGTGCTGCCATCGACTCACCATCTGGAGAAAGGCCTGATGCTCTGAACGATTGTTGGACAATGTCCAACACGTCAAATGAAGATTGTTCGGCACTGGATGGAGGATTCCTGACCTGGGTTGACGAAGAATATCCTTGACGAACCAGAAGCCATGTGAGTCTCGAGAACCATGGTTGTCGAGGCCAGAATAGGGCAATGAGGGGAATCTGGCATGATTCTTGTTCTATCTTGGATAAGACTCAGGGAATGAGGGATACTGGAGGAAAGGCGTACGCCAGAAGGCTGGACCAATTCACCTCAAGAGCATCCGTCGCCCAAGCTCTTGGGTGTGGAAACCTGAAGCAAAACATCGGAAGATGGGTATTGTCGGCCGATGCGAGAGGTCGACGTGGGGGCGCTCGATCTCTGCGAAGATTTGGTGACCACGCTCGGCTGTAGAGTCCCCTCCCTAGGGTGGACAGCACCCCGAGAGAGAGCGTCTGCTATGTTGTTGGACATTCCCAGTATGTGAACAGCCTGGAGAATGATCCTGTGATCAATCGCCCACATGAAGATCTGCCATGTAAGGACGCATAGCTGGGGGAGCGTGTACCACCTTGGTGGTTTATGTACGCTACCACTGTAGAGTTGTCGCTCTGGATTCAAACCGAGAGACCCACTAAGTGCCGCTGGAAGAGGCAAAAGGTGTTGAATACTGCCCGAAGTTCAAGCAGGTTGATGTGTTTGGTGCAGAAGGAAGAGTCCCAAACTCCGGACGCATGAAGCGGAGGAAGGGAGGCCCCCCATCCGAATAGTGACGCATCTGTTGTCATTGTGATGTTCGGCTTCTGAGGAACAATGGGTATTGTCACCGACAGGTGCTCGCTGAAGGTCCACCATCAGACGTTGTTGCAAACATCTGGTAGAAGAGGAACCAAGGTAGAAATCGGATCACTCTTAGGGTGATATCAAAACAGGAGGTGTAGTTGAAGCGGCCGCATCTGCAGTTGACACCAAGGAGCAACGTCGACAAGGCTGGCGATAAATCTGAGAAGGCGAAGCCAGACTAGCACCGGAAGAGCCTTAGAGCACAGGAACAAAAGGGCGTATTGTTGCAGATTGAGGATGCATTCCGATGACGGAGTGGCAACACCTTTGAGGATATCGAGAGCTGCCCCCAGGTAGGTCAGCCATTGTGATGGATCGAGGGCCGACTTGTCATAATTGATGAAGAACCCTAGGCATGTCGTGACATCAAGGGTGAGAGAAGTGGCAGAACTTGCTTCGTCGGGGCAGCGGCCGACGATCAACAAGTCGTCTAGATATTAAAAAATAAGGATGTCGCACTGTTGTAAGTAGGCGGCAAGAGTCTTGATGATCTTGGTGAAGACCCTTGGTGATGTTGAGAAACAGAAAGAAAGGGTCCAAAACTGAAAGGTCCGGTCGCAGTACTCGAAGCCGAGGTACTTGCAGTGTTGCTTGTGTATCGGGATATGAAGATACGCATCCCGTAGATGTATCCAGGTGGCCCAGCACGGAACAGGTAGAGAGGGTAGGACCACGCTCAGAGTCTCCATTCGAAACTGCCTTGGCCTGATGAACGTGTTAAGTGGTTTCTGGTTGATTATTGGTTGCCATTTTCTGGGTCTTTTTTGGGTGCGAGGAAAAAGGACGAAAGGAAGCTGGTGGATAGCTGGTTTGGATGCACCGGTGTGATGGCTTGATTGCGTAACAATGCTGCAATCTCCTCCTCCAGAGCCAGGCGCTTGAGTTTGTCGCATGGAGGAGTGGAGCAGAAGGTGATCCCGGATGGCAGGGAGCTCGAGAACTCAAGGGAGTAGCCGTGAGCAATGGTGGAGAGGACCCAGCTGTCCGCTGTGATTTCACGCCAGAACCAGATGAAGTTGCCCAGGCGGCGCCAACAGATTCTGGATTGGCGGCCGCCAAAGGCAAATGGAAGTAGTCATCGACGCCGTCCCCGGGGGGACCGGGGGCATGGCATAAAGAACCACGGCCGGGCACGGCTAAAAGCTTCTGGAAGCCAATGTAGGAGGAGCTCGCTGCAGGGCCGATGACCGAGTAGCCACCCGGAGTGGACGGCTAAAGGGGCGAGCAGTCGGTGGTGCCTGGTTCGCTCATCTTCTTGGCCGTGGTGGAGGCTGACTGTGTGGAGATGCAGGTTCACTAAGCTAGGGTCGCAAAGTCTGGAGAGATAGGAGAGTCTTCTTCACAGGCCCAAGCAATATACTCCTATAGAAGGAGAAGAAAGGCCGAACATGGGAGGCCAAAGCAGGACGCCATATCAACGCGACGGAGGGACAAGTCAAGGGTAGCTTTGTCCATATCCAGGAAGGTTTTTGCCATGCCGGACTCAAACAAGATCTTGTCTCTGGCAGCGTCAGGAATATTTGGGGTTGACTGAAGTGAGAGACATCCTCCCGAGGAAACCGGTAATAAGATGAAGCTCTGGACAGGAATGTGCGCCAGCATTTATCCTTCGCCAGGGCATTCATCATTTCCACACAAGAACGGTCCAATGGAATCTCTGGGAAGACGGGCTCAGCTGACTCAAAGCGTGAAGGGTGGCGTTCGAATGAAGCAATTTCATATTCTGTCTGTGCAGGATCTGATAACAGGAGCCCCTGAACATGGATCATGTTGCATAAAAGGAGACGGAAGCGGCCTTCCGATTGAGTCAGACCAGGCCCCAAGATGATGTCATCATCCTCAGAAGAGTAAGGTTAAAGGCCAAGTTCGGAGGGAGGCTGATCGCCTTGAGTTGAGGCTTGATCTGGCACCGCAACTTGTTGGGGAGACAGATCTGGACGGACAGAAGTTGCCCAGACTCAGAAGGAGGCCCGTGAGTAGGAGGCGGAACGGCCGGGAGAGGATCCGGATCAGGTGCCGTTGCCACCGGCTAAGGCTCACAGTCTATCTTGCGGGCGAGTGACAAGAAGGCCTCCAAAAGAGACTGGAGAGTCAACATCCAAGGAGGCGGATCCGGCTTGGAATGACATCTCTTCTTGGCCTTGGACGAGGAAGAAGCTGAGGAGGATGACTTGGCCTTGTGCTTATTGGACTTCGTCGAAGCGGGGGGACTGGAGGCCGGGCAAGGATCTCCAAAAGGGCAGTCATCTCTTGCGAAAAACATCCGACATAAAGATCAGTAAGCTCATGACTGGAATCCACCAGCGGGTTGGAGCTGCGGATGACCTGTGGCGGACGGAAACCCCCATGATGTAACAGTCCAGAAGGGGCACCATCGTCCAAGGCAACAGGAAGCTGGAGAGCATGCAGGGTTGTAGGCTAACCCGTGACTGAAGCGGTGGAGCGTGGTGATCCCGCTGTGGAGTCTGCTGTCCGCCTGGAGGGAATTGACTGGTCTGACCTCCAAGCGGATGTTGCCCAGCGAGCAGGGGCCGGTGAAAGGTCCGGGGCAGATGGCAGACCATCACCCTGCAGGCCCCCTGAGCCATCGGTCGGTAGGCCCGTTCGGGGATGCGGTAGGTAGGAATGCCTGCAGCATAAAAGGAAGGGACGGCTCACTACTCCCAACAATAGTTATCAAAGGCATTGATATGGAAAATCCACTCAACCCGATGAATAAGTGTAGCCTTGGTGCCCGCCACCTCGGGCCCCTGGACTGCTTAGCTGCGCCGCCGCTGCCGGTCGGGGCACCGGCAGTAGGCATAGAAGACGAAGGTAGAAGACCAGCAGGTTTGGCTCGGTGGTGAGAAGGTGGGTGGTAGTCATCAGTGATCAAGGGCTTTATTACAGAACCCAACCAATCCTGGTATTGGTCATCAGAGATCAAAGGCTTCGTGGTCCTCCGGTCCGCCTGATCTACAGAGGCTGTTTTGATCTAGGAGTTGCAGTACTCTGGCTCTCTCTAGTCAAGGAGGGTATCGGTCAGCTTTTGCAGTACTCCGGTCCGCCTGATCGTGACGATCCAGGCCCGGGGTGCCTTAGCCCCAGCCTGCTCAGGTCTCTCGTCGTTGAGGCCGCTAATCGGAAAACGCAAACCGCACCACAGGGGAGCAGGGCGGCTCACTAAGCCCTGCCCACGGCCAGACCCAAACTGCTTTGGGCCGTTATTGTTCAAACGCACGCACCACATGGTGAGAGAAGGGCCCTCCGACCCTTTCAAGACCATACCCACATAACACATCACACAGCATGGTAGGTCACAACCCAACCAATATATGATGCAAAGAAAACAAGGGGCAGAAAAGAACCACAAGAAAAAACATAGAATGCAAGAAACAAAATTAAAAATATAAGCACTCTTACCAAAAGACAAGGAATCAAGTCAATTCAATAGCATGAAAGGTACGGAACTCTAGAATTCGAGGAGTCAGAAAAGACACATCCCTAAACTATAGGCGCTGAGAAAAGAAGGGCAAACATGGCGGCGGGACCGCATTGCATTGTGGTGGGTCAGGGGGCAGCATGCACAATCAAGTCTTTTTAGCGAATTGTAATAGGCACATGGGAAATTTGCATATGAAGGCTGGACAGGGGTATGTGAAAGCAAGAGACTTCTTAGTTTAAAAGGTGCAGTTTGTACTTTACTACAGAGCTTCATCTCTGTGTTTAATTTTCTACAGAGAATGCT